TCTCTCTCTCTCTCTCTCTCTCTCTCTCTCTCTCTCCCCTCCCTCCCCCCACTCCCTCTCTCTTCCTACTCCCCTCTCTACAAAGCTGCCACACTGCTACAGACCTAGAACAGGATCAAGCAATCAATGAAACTTCAAAACAGTGAACAAAATAAGTATTTCTTCTTTTTATGGTTTATCTCAGGTACTTTGTCACAAATGAAAAGCTGTTTAACATGCATGCTAACTTACTGATGAATATAGCCCTTATAACAAAAATTCTTTGGGATCTAATTTGAGTACAACTGCAGGGGTTTGGGGGGGTATGAATACAAAAGTACAATGATACAGGCATGAAAATGCCATAATACAATGATATATATGTGTGAAAATGTCATAATGAAACCCACTATGTAGTATGTGAACAAAAGAATTTAGAAAAAAGTTAGGCCCTTTATCAGAAAGAGACAGAGAAAAGGCAGGAAGGAGGGAGGAAGGAGGAAAGGAGACTAGGGTGAGTAACAAATACTAGGTCCTATTATCACGAACTTTGAAAACCAATTCCCCGTGTAGCTCAGAAGTAGGGAATAAGCTTAGCATGTACAAGGCCCTAGGTCCAATACACAGCACCAAAAATAAAAACTTAAATTTAAAAAGTCCAAAATTCCACTGCCCCAAAGCAAAAGTGTTCCACATCGGGGGCTAGATCTCACATGAGATCTGCTTCCCTGTCATCCTATCCTCTCTAGACACACAGTAAAAAGTAACACATCTTTACTGCTCTTTTCATGAATTCTAGAAAGAAATCACAAACCATTCAATTATTTTAGGATACAAACCACATGCTTTCTATATTTCTCTAAGGTAAACACCTAAATTTCCTAATCCATTCTTCACTTATCTCTTGTCCCTCCTGACCCTCCTCACACAATCATACTTTGCACACTTGTTTGCTAATGTTTTTCTGTATTCTCAATGTTCAGCCTAGGATCTGAACCTCTGAAGTGTGCCTCTTCAAAGAGAACACCAAGAAGTTGACGTTCTGTGCCAGCTCACTGCTTTCAAATTGTGGAACATGATCCCACTGGCAATTTTATCCTCAGATGCAAAACTACACAGGCAGGGCTGGGGATGGACCCATGTTGGTAGAATGCTTCCCTAGCATACACAAAGCCCTGAGCTCAATCTCCAGCACCACATCAACAGCATGGTTCATGCTTCCAATCTCAGCCCTCAGGGGGCACACACTTAGAGTAAACAAAATAGAAAATATCCCTACTACACGCCAGGCACACCAATAATGCCAGACATAACAATAAAGACTGACAATATGAAATTTTCTTGTCCTGAATCATGACCAAAATGTTGCTATTACTAGGAAATGTGGGCAGAAAAACTTTCAAACTACTACACCAGATCAAATTTCAACCACTGTTTTCTCCAGTAAGCTCACGATGCTTTCTGTTAATGGACAAAGCACACAACAGAATACTCCAACTAAGTAAACATGGCTCTTCAGCCAGGCAGAATGCTCCTACACTTTTTTACCCTTATGGCAGGAACAGTTTCTATGCATCAGCCAGGAGATGGATACTGGTAGGTCTAGGCATAATTTGGCTTTTCTTCTACCAGGTTGGTTTTTCTTTTCCAAATCAGTAAATGTTGGCTGGGGGTATGGCTCAGTGGTAGAACAAATACTTAGTATATATGAGGCCTGAGTTCATCCCTTAACATCAAACACATGAACATATGTATGAGAATGCCTTTAAGTAAAGCACATACCCAAATGCCAGAGCTCTTCTGCTCAGGATTTATTACACCACCATCAGGTCATATTTATCTACCTAGCCCTGGAAAAATTAGTTTCCAACCTATAGAGAGGAATGTAAAACGATCCTTCCAGGCAGCTAAACGTAAGAACTCCATGTAACTATGTCTCACTGTGTGAAGCGATGGCCACTGAAGGTAAAGCATACCTGGAAGCGCATGTTGCCCAGACACCATGGTGAGCAGCTTCTCTTGCTCCTCCATGAGCTTCTGCAGTTGCTCCAGCTGCTGTCTCTTCAGCTGTTCCTGCTTCTTTTGCTGTATTTCTTTCAGCTTTTTAAATACAAAATTAAACTAGCATTACATTCCTCATGACACACCTGACATTTATCTTAATCTCTCCTATTGTCCTTTGTACATGTTCATTAATGAAGAATTTCAGAGAATCCCTCGATAAGTAAATCTGTCACCAAAACACTAAAAATCTAATTTATTCTGAAGCAAATTTTATCAGTATCTCAACTAAGAAACAACAACAAAAGAATCTTTGAGTTTTACAATAGGCAATCAAGAACATCAACTTTGCCCCCTAATATCTGATCAATCATTTATAACTTAGTTTTTACCAAATGAGGGGGTAACTGAAAGACATGAAGTTATCTTAATGGTTACATCTTATATATCAAACATATTTTCATGTTTCACTTAGACAAAAATAAAATCTGGGATTTCTGAAGATTTCAGAGTAAAGGTTTGGAAAAACAAGATGACCAGGAACAGATGACTTTCAATCAACCATATAATACCTTTAACGCAAGTAAGTATTCGACTAAATCCTAACGTACCTGTTCAAGTTTTTTAAAAAGTGGGTCTTTATAAGTCACTTCTTTGAGTTCACTCACAAGATCAGGTATAAAGTCATTTTTGTTATCTTCCTGGTATTCAGAGGCATCCTGACACGACACTATTTGTGGCTCCTTTGTAACTAAAGGAAAGACTGTCTGGGTTTCAGATTTTTCTGACTGCAGTTTATTAGGGCCTTCATACTCCAACTTCTGTTCTTCATGAAATGAATCTTCTTCACTAGTGAAGCTGAAGCTATTTGAGAAACAAGTGGCTTTAACAGGGAAGCGGGTAGAAGCATTTGTAGCTGCTTGCTTCTCTTCACTGGCTTCCAAAATAGGAAAGCCTCGATTTAATATGACCCCTGCCCGAGAAGGATTGGTCATCCACTGGGTTAGGAAGTTCTGTCCGGGGCTTAATTCTGAAGAAGTTGGCATCAGGAACATCTTAATCCAAGGCACTATAATATTTAAATAATGGAAAAGCCACTAATTTCCAACACCTGTAAATAAAGCCAAGAAAAAGTATTTGTTAAAATTATTAAGTATTTTACTCCAAACTAGCCCAAGCTTCAACCCAGTACAAAAACTTAGTATTAAACACACAGAAGATTTTAACATGGACCAGTGAGTAAAGATACTTGTCGCCAAGCCTGATGACCTGACTGTGATCTCCAGGTCCCTCAAGGTGGAAGGAGAGAAACAACATCTGCAGGTTGTCCTCTGACCTCCATATGTATGCCATGGTATGTGTGCATCCACACACATACACACATGCCCACACACACTAATGTATTTTTTAAAAACTTTAAAGAGCGAAGCAATTAAGCATTAGGCTGCACAGTTCAAAGTTTTGCCTTCAAAAATGTAAATTAAGCATATCAGAAACATAAGCATCTTTCTAATCTAATCATTCAATTACTAATGATATACAAGTGCTAGATCAATTGACCTAAAACTATAGGATCTAAGATACCCTTTAAGTTACTCAATTACAAAGGGGGGAAGAAACTACCAATTTCAAATACACACTTGCTTCTTTGCCCAGTTGGAGAACATGTTTTCTCCTGAGTTCCAGAACAAAAGTCATCATCACCAACCAACCACCCCACAGCTTCAGTTTCCCTGTTCCATCTCCTGACATGCACAACTCCTCACCCACTGGCAGTCCGTCCCCTGTATTCCAGACGTTCCTGCTATTACTATCTAGCATTTATTTTAGCATAAATGGTATTTTGCTATCATGTTCATTCATACTCTACCAAGTTCCAGGAAGATCCTGTATATTCTCCATTGCCTACTTCCATGCAAACAAAAGGAATTTGCTAAGTTAAACATTGTATTTAAAATCAATTTGGGGCTGGAGCGATGGCTCAGCAGTTAAGAACACTAACTGCTCTTGCAGAGGACCAGGGTTCAGTTCCCAGCACACACGTGACAGCTAACAACCATCTGTAACTCCAGTTCCAGGGGGTCCAACGCCCTCTTCTGACCTCCACAGGCATTCCATGACATGGGTGCCTTACATACATGTAGGCAATGTACTCATACACATAAAATTTAAAAATTCAAGCTGGGAATATCTGTGTTCATTCAATATTGAACAATAAAAATTACAATGGTTCATGTCATAATGTATGAATCATCAAACTTCAGTGTTGAACTATGTTACCAAGAAAAAAAAATAAAAAATACTTAAACAAGACATCACAGTAAAGCTAAGCTCCTGCCTTTGTGTGTTTGATTTCCTGAACACACACAGTTAGTAAATGTTACTAACTTCTTACTCTACTGTTTTGGTTTTTCTTTTGGCTTTATTGTTTGGTTTTTGTTTTTTGATTTTGTTTTTTGTTTTGAGACAGGGTCCGCCTGTAGTCCCAGTTGGAACTTGCTATGTAGAACAGGCTGTACTTTATCTCATAGAGATCCGCCTGCCTCTGTCTCCCAAGGGCTGGGTTTAAAGAGGTTCATCACATCCAGCTATTCTATTTTTTGTCTACCTTGGTCCCTTAGTGATAGACTTTAAGTACTATTTCTGTGCTGAAGGTGCCTCAGTTTATGCTTGATGACCTTTTCTTCTTCTGTATCTCAAAAAACAAAAACAAACAAAAAAGTGGAGTGTCACTGACGCCAAGTAAATAAAGTGTTTCAAGGAGGAATTATCAATGTTAAATACTGTTAATAGAGCATTTTCAAGGAGGAATTAGCAGTGCTAAATACTGTTAACAGATTTAAGAACTGAGTCAGGCATGGTACCACATGCCTTTAATCCCAGGACTCGGGAGGCAGAGGCCAGCAGATCTCTGTGAGGCCAGGCTGATCTACATAGTAAGGTCCAGGTCAGCTAGAGCTATAGGGAGACCCTGTCTCAAAAAGCCAAAAAATAAATAAGAGAGCTGAGAACTGATTTCTGAATTTAGTAAAGCAAAAAGCATGAGAACATCAATTGAAGAGTTTGGGGTGCAAAAGAAGGCTTTTGGGGGGTCCCCTTTTTTATTTTGTGTTATTAGTCTTTTGTTTTTGCCAGCCCTATTTGTGAAAAAAGTGGTATATTGTTACTGCTCTAATTTTTGTGTTTTCAGAGGTGTGAGAGTGAACATACTGATCTTTGGAGACCAAATTTTCTCTTTATATCTTTTTTATGTTTTTTGTTTTTTTTTAATATGCCTCTTGGGAAGCTAAATACATGTTTGCTTGCCTCACAGAGTTTCCACTTTTCATTTCTGTTTGGTTATGTGTAAATGTATGTATACATATATGCATCTCTATATATTTGATAAAATTAAAGTCTAAAATTTTGTCTTAAAAGCAGCATGAGGGCCGGGCATGGTGGCGCATGCCTTTGATCCCAGCACTCGGGAGGCAGAGGCAGGCTTATTTTGATATATCACAGTGAAAGATTTATCGTCCTCTTTTTTTTTTTTTTTTTTTTTTTTTTTAAAAAAAAAAAAAAAAAAAAAAAAAAAAAAACAGGGGGGAGCTCTTTAAGTAGTGCTTGCATGTGCAATCTGACATATTTTGGAAAATAAGACAACTATCTATCTGAACTGTAAATGAACAAAAGCCTTGATCTATCAATTTTACAATTAGGCATTTTGTACCACTGTTATACTATTTACAAGCTCGTATCTGCAATGAACTGAAATAAGCCAGGCACTGTGGCCCACACTTGCTAATTCCAGCACTGAGGAGGTTAGGGCAGGAGTTGTTCCAGGCCACCTGGACTACAATGTAAGACCCTGCCTTAAGATGTAGCTCTGTAGTAAGTGTTTGCTTACGATATGTGAAGCCCTGGATTTAATCCTTGGTACCCAAAAAATTAAATAAACAAATAAAAAACTATGTAGTAGCCCAGGCTAATAACCCCAGAACTTAGGAGACTGAAGCAGATCAGCCTGGTTCACATTGTGAGTTCTGGGCTAGCTGCCCCACAGAGTGAGACCCTGTCTCAAAAAAACAAAACAAGGGGCTAGAAAGATGGCTCAGTGGTTAAGAGTGCTTCCTGCTCTTCTAAAGAACCCAAGTTTGGGGCCGGGCGTGGTGGCGCAAGCCTTTAATCCCAGCACTTAGGAGGCAGAGGCAGGCAATCTTTGTGAGTTCAAGGCCAGCCTGGTCTACATAGTGAGTGCCAGGACAGCTGGGGCTACGAGGAGACCCTGTCTCAAAAAGAAGACAAAGAAAAAAAAAACCCAAGTTTGTTCCCAGCATCCACTTCAGGTGGCTCACAACTCCAGCTCCAGGAGGAGATCTAATGCCCTCTTCTGGCCTCCATGGGCACCTGCACTCACATGACATACATTCATCACACTGACATACACATATAGAACACATAAATAAAAATCTTTTTAGAGACACAGGCTAGCAAATGACTCAGTGAGTAAAGGGATTTGCTGCACAGGCCTAGCTACCTAAGTTTTATCCTCAGAACTCACATAAGATGGAAAGAGAGAACAGACTCCATAAAACTGTCCTCAGACATCCATATGTGCATCATGGCATACAAGCCTACACATACACACACACACACACACACACACACACACACACACACACACACACACACAAAATAATAATAATAATAATTTTTTTTCAATGTTAAAGGAAAAAAACACAAAAGAATAGCATTATGGGGGCTGGAGAGATGGCTCAGTGGCTAAGAGCATTGACTGCTCTTGCAGAGGACCCACGTTCAGTTCCCAGCACCCACATGGCAGCTAAAAAGTCTGTAACTCCAGTTCCAGGAGGAACTGACGCCCTCTTCTGTCCTCTGAGGATATTGCACAACACAGATGCACTTGCATACATGCAGGCAACACATTCATCCACATAAAATTAATAAATATTTACAAAAAAAAAAAACCAACAGCAGTATATGCACCTGTGCAGTCCAAGGCAATACATATGTCTACAGAGCATTTGAGATGGGGCTGTTCCTGAAGAACTGAATTTCCAATTTAGTTTTATTTAAAGTTAATTAAAATTACATTTTAAGCAGGGCATGGTGGTACATGCCTTTAATCCCAGCATTCAGGAGGCAGAGGCAGGTGAATCTCTAAATTCAAGGGCAGTCTGGTCTACATAGCAAGTTCCAGGTCAGCTAGGGTTACACAGTGAGACTCTTGTCTCAAAAAACAAAAAATTTTAAATGAACAAATATAAAATTTATTTCTTCTAAGCATGACTTTAATCTTTTAGTAAGATATATTTCATTTTAACCACTATGTGGTATGGGATGTACTACTGAAGAGGATATTATGTCACAGACAGCAGACACAGGTCTATAGTCTTATATGTCAACTGACTAAATCACTTCAAATTATTTTTTTCAACACAAGGATGTGACATTATTTATTTGAATACTCTGTGTAAACAATACAAGTTATAGAGGTCCTATTCAAATTATAACTTTCAATTCAAATATTACATTAAGGCATAATTGTTTTTTCTAGCTCATATTTTTAAATATGAACAAAGTTTTAAATTTAAGACAATTTAATTCCAGCATTCAGGGAGATAGAGACAGGATGATCACATAAGGTCAAGGCTAGCCAGTCGTACATAGAAATTCCAGGCTAGCCAAGGTTAGTTACAAAGGAAAAAAAAGACTATATGGTGATAATGTTAAGGGATATATTCAACAAAACTAGTAACTTGTGGGCTGGGGAGATAGCTAGCAGGTAAAGGCGCTTGCTGCAGTCTCCCCTTTGTTGTTGCACTCCATTATATAATACATATTATAAATACTTGTGCAGGGCCAGCAGGTAGGGGTACTTGCCCCAAGCCTGACAATCTGAATCCAGTCCCCAGGACTCAGAAGTTAGGAGAGAACCAACTCCTGCAAGTGGTCCTCTGACCTCCACAATTCTGCCACGGCATGTACACCCGGTCTCTGAAGCAAAATCTATAATGTCATGGATATGCTTGTTAAAATTTTTCAGTAAGTATATACAAATGTTATGTATCATCAGTTTATATAATTAAAAGAAATGGAAGACAGAGAATT